GTATACTGAAAATGTACAATGATACATGTAAATTATATTACCCTAACAATGTCCTTAGACTTATGATGTACACAACAAGTTTCAATAAGATCATACGGGCTGTTATAGTGCTTTGTAGTTCATCAATGGCTAGGACAAAATTCTATGTATATACTGTACATGTACTAAAACTTATATTGTTCAGAAACTTTGAATGGTTTCCATTCCAAACCGTCTGTGGCCAAATTTCATCAAAAATGACTAGGAAAGAATTCTCCATTTTAATAAGTTTTTCTGATACATATACATGTTCTTATGTTGTATAGAAAGTTTGAGGTAATTCTAATTTCAAAATTGATTTTTTCAGGAATCTAAAGCTAATTCCAGACTTACTTGATTTCAGTGGATTCAAGATACATGTATGATGGAGTGCCAGTGACTGACTGGTGGGTATAGAAATGTCTCACAAACTGCCACTGAGAGCTATCATCACCTAAAATAAACATAATCAATAAACACTAAATGTAAACAATCACAACATACTGTGTACGCAATATATTTCACAGGTACAAAATTTCACAATTTGGCTGCATTTTTATATTCACAAATAAAAATTTTTGTAATTTTAATGTAATTACCACACCTACTATACAATCAGCACCCTATTTTGCAGATTTTAATTTCACAAATTTTTCCAGAACGCGAAAATTGTGAAACTTAATCCCTGCAAAATATATGGTGTATACTGTACATGTACATGCATTAACTATAGACCACCCTAGGCGTGAAACGGTGCCCGCCCACACATCATAATTGGCTGCCATTTTGGTTGGCAAGTTTATTATGGAAGTCAATGGAGGCACGAAGAAAATGCCTCACTTACCTACTGTAGCTCTATTAATAGCTAAAAAGCACTTGTTATAGACCCCTTTAGGCGAGAATTAGTTTATGATACCGTATATACAAAGAAATAATATTGAACGGATTTTTGTCCGCCATGTTTTACGTCAAAGTTATGCAGAGTTCCAATGGCTGATGTGCAAAGTAGAGCTGTTTTGCCAATAAAACTTTTGCTGTGCTGAACTCAGGACTATGAGAGGCTTCATATCAACTGTTCTTTACTATAGCAAGATATTTTGAAGACTTAAGAAGTCTGGGAGAGCCAGAACGATCAGTTCTTGACTCTCTGTCACAGCCCAAAGAGGAAAGCAGGCTCATATAACAAGAGTATTGCACTATACTTCCTAGGTTGGCTCTCTTGGCATCTTTCTTGACTCTAGAATAGTTTTTAGCTTCAAAATGTAGTGACCAAGATCTCCAGGACACAGAAAGCACTTGCTGCTTGACGTAAAACATGGCGGCCAATTATTGTATGTGGGCGTATACCGTAACTAGTGGTGGGCGATATATCGATATTTTATCGATACAAACGATATTTTACGGTATCGATTCGTATCGGTATCGAAATTTTGAAGGAATCTGGATCGATACGTTGGCCACGCCCATTTATTATGGTTAAATAATATTAATAATGAAAATTTTAATAAGTTAATGACGTAATACACACACGTGGATACACGTGCATGAAAACATCGATGAAAACAGTCAATAATAAGGGGGTGTGACTCCATAGGTGTGGCCTAAATATCGTATCAAAACTGTATCGATACTCCCGATATGAGCTGATATTGATCGGTATCGTATCGAATCCATTTTGGCCAGTATCGCCCACCACTAACCGTAACTGAGATATAACGATATTCATTGCAAAATTAATGATATTCACAAGCTGCTACTTCTCGCCGAAAGGGGTCTATAAGAAAGAGCAGCTGCCTCTAAGCTTCTCCTGTCAAGGATTTGGTCAAATTTGCTCCAGAATTCTTAAGGTTACGGGATACCTTTCTAACCGTAAATCTTTCAATCCTTAAAATAAAAAATGTAATTTTAAAAAGTGGGTGGGGACTCACGAGTTATTATTGGCTTATCTATTTATGGCTATGCGCTGCCCTGCGTCAAGAGGAATGGACTTTTATAAATCAAAAATAAGCTCAACTGGGCCATATTTCACATGGTTCTCCAAGTAAATATTTTGCTAACTTTGATATCTAGGTCGTGTCGTGGCATTCTTTTGGCTGGACTTAGTAGAAACAGAGATAGTCACACCATAGATCTATTTGGCGGCCATTTAATGCGTTTTTTCAGTATTCTTGACTGATTTTCTGAGGTTAAGAAAAAAGAAAGCAAAAAATCTCATCGTGACGACCTTCATTTTTGCCTCAAGAAGAGCTACCATTTGTTTTAGAGACTTTTGTTGTTCAGGACTGGAGATTTTTGATTTATAAGTGTTTATAATTAACCCAGCCTATATCAAGTACAGTCATTCTGTATAAGATGAACAGATTACCTTATATAAGAAATAAATCATTAAAAATGATAGTAGTAATGAAAGAAGTGTCATTTTTAAAAAGATAACAAATGAAATAACAATTAACTACAGCTAATTAATTATTCATAAACTGTATCCCGTAACCTTAATACAGGTTTGTTTTTATGTCGGCCCGTTTGTTCTCCATTGAAAGTTGCCAACCAAAATGGCGGCCGGAATTTATTTCATCCTAAACCACGCCTTACAACCGTAAAAATTTCTAATAATCTTCCTACGCATTCAATTCTTGCCTAGGGTGGTCTATAATGCCTACTACGTACTACATTGATAGTACATGTTTGTTGTACAAATACACCATACTTGTACAGTAGTATGTAGGCAATTATGCATACACATAATTACACATACCTTCATTAACAAGGACACCATTATTGTCCCTATAGCCACTAATTAAGACTGGAATGGGCACCAACATATTACCATCTTTGAGATCTTATGTAACATAATAATTAAGGTACATATACATATGATTCAATATATACACCCTCTAAATTGAGACCATAAAACTAAAGTCCATTTGTGTTCACCTGAGCCCTCATTTTCTTGCTGTGACTTTTGACTTACAAGTTCTATTATAACAATAAACATACCAGTGCATTCCTCTCCTTTTGCCACATCTATTGTGATACTGAAGAAGCAGCTGTAGCTCTTTAGCTCCAAGTTGGTTGTATAACCCATGCAGAAAGTACAGCCATACTTTTTACAATATTATTGCATTGTGTTAATTATTGGGTGGGGTCTGTAATCACTTCCTGGGCTCAGGTGAATGCAAATGGCTTTAGTTGAGTATAAGTACTATGTCTTAGGATACATATATCATAGAATATAGGGCTAGAGCCATCAGTCATAAGAGCAATGGGGTCAAGAGAACACTGTATTTCATAATGAACACCAACTTGCCAAGCGGTAGCCATCTTTGAAGGACGATCTTTACACAACTAAAAAATAAAATAATAATGATAATAATAATAATAACAATAACGATGATGATCATTAAAATAAGTGATAGGTGTTATCATTACCATGATGGTATCGTTGACAAAGCTTAAATCTAAAAATGTTCCATTCAAAGCAAACCGTGCAGCATATATAGGAAGGATTGATGAGCTCTGTAAAAGAGGAGGGAGGAAGAGAGAAGGAAAGGAGAGGGAAGAGAGTAGAAACAGTGGAGGATTATGATCATAAAACAAACATTCCTGTTAAGCCTACAATCAATAGTATGACATGAATGCATACTTAAGGCAGATTTACAATATTACGCTAGTCCTGACATTATGTTGACGCTGGAGTTAAATCTGGTTCAATTCCAGCGTGAAAAGGTCAAATCGCCTACGCTTTTGA